ATTAAAGACCTGGGAATATTTATCGACTCCAAGCTCCGATTTCACAACCATGTTGACCACATATTTTCACATTGTATTAAGTTGCTGGGTCTTGTTCGCACATTAACCTTTTCGTTCTCTTCTCTCGATTGCCTGTATATGTTATATGTAACCTTAGTTAGATCCAAGCTCGAGTACGCCTCGGTCGCTTGGAATTCTATTACGACTACTGATGCCAACAAACTGGAACGTATCCAGCAGAAGTTTGCAGCCCTTTGCTACTATCGTTTCCTCCCCCAAGTGCATTACAGCTATGCTGATGCATTAGAGTATTTAAAACTCCAGACAATGCGTAAGAGAAGGCATTCTAGTGATGCACTGTTCCTTGCGCAGGTTTACCGTGGTTTTAAATGCTGTCCTTCCCTTCTGGAAGCTGTCGGTCTCCGCATCCCTGCTCGGAATCTGAGAGATTTTTCTATGTTCAGTTTTAGCCCTTTGATCAAAAACAGTCCTGCTAGATGCGCATCAGCTGCTAATGTCATCTGCAGGGATTTGGACATATTCGAGACGAAAATTGTCACACTTCTTCACATTTTATAATAGTATAATTTACTTAATTGATTCATGTTATTTTTACAAATATCCTAATATAGTTAGAAGTAATTTTTTGTGTATTTTTTTCCCGTATCAATGTATTTTATAAATTGCTTGTTTTACCTTTTATTTTTTATTGTGTTTGTGAGTTTATCTCTGTGCTGTATCTGTAATTGGCCATCAGGCTGTTGATATAGCACACAAATAATAAAGAATTGAACTGAATTGAATTGAAAATATATTTTTTCACTTTTTGACTTGCTGGTTTCGAAATTGGCGTTATTCTGAATATGCGCAAATCCAGGGCTACGTGTACTCATCACTCAACCAGTCACAGAGTGACATTTCAACAGGTACAGATGTGCCACATGACTAACTACATAGAGCAGAATCCATCTTGACAAGCTAACAGTCACTCATATAATTAGCAACTTTCTTTCCTTTTGTGAGACCTTAATGTTCATTACTGTGTTCACAGATTCTGCAATTTTACATTCTCAGGAAAGAGATAAATCTAGTTCATCCTTTCAGACCTCACTTTTTAAAATCTCTTCTGATATCTTCACATCTATGCCTTGGTCTCTTGAGTGGTCAGGTTTTCCAGCCATATTCCTGTATATATTTTTGATCTCTCTCTCTGTCATTATGCACTTTTTATCATCTTCCTGGTTAAAATGTTCACCTTAGCTGAAACACCCAAAATGCACCTCATAGATCTGTGTGACTGCACGAGAAACCATGTCCCTCTTACATGTTATTTAAGTAAAGATTTTGTAGTTCATGTTTCTTGCATAGCTAATAGTAGAACTCAAATTAATGAGATGGATGCATTTTGTGTGTTTCTTCAATTTTATACTTACACCATTGAATGTTGCTGTTGTAATTGTTATGTAACATGTTAATTACTATCCCTGCTTTAGTTTCCCCCTTGGAGTGATCATATTTCAGTAGGTTCCCATTTCTCGTACTTCAGTCATTGTGCCATATGCAGGTGCTTGCTGTTGGTTCTCATCCTCTCATGTGTGGGCGTGTGTGGTCTTTGGCGTCGTTGGTGCTTTTGTTGCTGGACGAGAGGCAGCTCTAGAGGAGGGTCCTGTGATGATGAGGCTGATGCCAGTTCAGGAGAGTCGGCCATATCTTGTTATCCTCCACCTCAGTATAGTCGCTGCTCGTCCTTCCGTCATGCACCACCACCATACACTGAGGTGAAGTTTACAGTCAAACACAAAGCTTGTTGAATGCTGTTTAAAATGACCAAAAATCATATGTGTGACAAGAAATATGTAAAATAAAATACTGTAACCACCATTCATAAGACAACAAATGAAGTGAAAACATTTATTTTTTTGTTTCATTTGGAAATTTTTAGGTGACATCAAAACCTGATTTGTATCCATTGGTCAATGGCTACATGGACAGTGGGAAGGGCAGTGCCGGAGGGAATTACCTCATGGTCCAGTACTTCCGCAACTACATAGTCAGGCCCGTTGGTAAGCATATACTCTTGTTTAAACTATAATTATGTATCTGCATGATAGCACAGTTGGGTTAGGTTGTTTATACCGTATGAAGTGATAAACTCATTTAAAGTCAACACAACTTCCTCGGTTGTTTGAGAGTCTGAATTTTTAAGCACGTGTGTGTGATGTGCCTCGTGCTCAACAGGATTGCTATTTGAATTTAATATGTTGCAGGTTCACTGTCAGCCACAAGCACCGCAGACTCACTCAGTTCCAGTTTCCTTTGCACAGCAGCCAATGAGGTCTGTGCTGCATCACTAGGCATAGTGTGACTAAAAGTGTCATAATAGTTTTTGTAGCACAGTTAACTCTGAGTTCTCTTTGTACACGTTGTCCAGTTTGTGAATTTTCTGGTTGGTAAAGGTATGTTCAGCATTGCCTCTTGTCGCAGTTGGCATCCTGATCACATAAATAATAAATATATATAACTGCCATTTTTACAACCTTTTATTATAGTAACATTCATGTTACATGTTCTCCCTTTTTCAGGCATGTGACTTACATGTGTATTGTCAGGCGTATGAAAATATATTTTTAAAATGTTGAAGATGATTTGTTGGCTCATAAAAGTTTGCAGTTGTTTTGGTTGTTTACAACTTATAAATTACATTGAAGGTAACAAAAAAATTGAATTAAATTGAGTGTAGTTGTTACAGTGAACAGTAAAATTGTTGGAAGTATACCAACGCTAGATGGGGCCTTGATTGTTGTACCAGTTAGCACAGACACATGTTAATGTAAAGATGAAGTGGCTTATGTTTCCAAGTACCATGCTATGAAGGTAGCTAGCTGTTCTCGACTTTATACATTTGTGCGAAAAGTTAATGTTGTGAGTCTGAGTTGATAAAATCTACTATCACTCACTGTACCATGCAGTTTTCTGACCTGCAAAGTGTGTATTCCTGAAATTGATAATATTGATCCACAAGGGACGACAGTTCCAGTTTCCTTTTTTCTATATTTAGTTGCAAAGGGATTCAAATGTTTATTCATACTTTTCACACTTCAGTGTTGTTAATTCATTACAGGGAAGTCGAGACGTTTGTCTGTACTTACGATTTATATTGAATGCACACTGTAATGTTGTAAAACATATGAACAGGTCTGGACTTCTTGTTGCAGGCCAATACAATAATTCCCCCACCATACTCTTGGACTGGGTCTGGAATTGGGAGTGGGAGCTTGGATGAGTTTCAGACTTCAAATCCATCGCCAGCCCCTCCAGTCTTATTACGTTCTGCGTCATCAGTCACCAGTTTCAACAATCATAACATCCATTGCAGCAACTCAACAGAAAATCTATCACATCAGAACATTTCATCATTAACAATGGTTCAACAGTCACTTCCTTGCAGATCAGGAAACATGCAGCATCAGCAAAGCTTTGTGTCAGCAACAGCGTTATCGACAACAGGCTCTGACATAAGCAGCTTGGCTGGAGTGGGCACTCCTGGCTCCCCTCCAAGAGCAACTAGCCCCACTCTAGGGATGCGAGAGTTGCTCGATAAGATTCAGTTGCTGCCTTTCCAACACGAAGAGTGTTCAGATTATTGTGTTCCTGCAGTCACTAATTCTCAGAGTGACAGTAGGACAAAGAGGCATCCTCATCGTGGTAGTGGCAAGAACTTATATATGCCATTAGGTCTTGGAGTGGCTGGCTCACGACCAAATAAATGGCTGCCACGATCTGCACCTGCAACACCTTCTGCACATTTTGCACCTCCTTTCTTTGTACCACCACCAAGACCAGCTTCTTCAGGCAATAGAAGGCAACAGTCTTCAGGAGCAACAAAGGAAGACGTGAGCCCACTGCTGGCTGAACAGCATGCACAGAATGGTGCAATGTGATGTTATAATTTTCTGTATTTGGTTTATTATTCAACAAAAATATGTATTTGTTTCTTACACATGTGCAAGACTCAAAGTTTTTAGATAAAATTAAGAAAAGAAGTATCTCAATTTGAAATCATATGTTGATTTTTCAGTTTCGAACTTTCATAATTTCCAGAAAACTACTTTTATTTTAATTTTAAAGGTTTCTGACAATGGTTGATGACACTTAAAATTATTCATTGTCAGGACTTTTTCCATCATCTATTCTTTAAAACCCATGATGTTTCGGAGGCTCCGAATAGACAAAAAGTCCTGACAACGAATAATTTTAAGTGTACTTTTACTTTGCACATTACATGGCTCTCCCTTCAATGCCTTTGAATGTAGTCTCTGAGATCCTTAATGTCACATTTATTCTGCACCGTCATTAAATAGTCCAGCAGGAGTGCACCAACACTTGACAGACTGACATATGAGAGAAGACTAGTTGTGTCCCTGATGTGTGGCTAACTTGTTTGGAATTACAGACCTGCAGATGACAATGTAATGGCTATATTGTATGTGCCGTGGGAGAGGTAGTGTAGAGGGTGGTAATTGTGTTTCAACTGTGGTACCAACTAATTTATAAATCATGTTAGCTTTGCTGTTGTAATGTGCTGCTTGCTGCATTCACATATATTACAACTACTTAATGTGTTAGACCATCAAAATTGAGATTTGAATTAGTCATTGATAGAAGACTTTAAGTTGCTGTTAATCTTGGCTTTGGAGGCAATGTGTCACCAAATATGTGATTCCTCTTTATGGAGAGAATATGGGTGTCCCTTTTGTCCAGTTCATTGCATTTCACATTCCCTTTTGAAGTTGGTGCCATTGCAATAACGCAGAAACCTTAGTTGTACCACTAGGCGTGAGGTTCCACAGCAGATTGGGCCCTGCAGTGTCATGTCTTTTGCAAGGCTTTTGAGTTGACTTCGGGTGCAAATGGAGCTGTTCAGGATAACATTAATATGGGCCTTACTTTGCTTTCTTCCACTCAGAATTTCTTCGGTAGAGAAGATGTCGGATACATTTACCAACCATTGTTGAGGATTCTGGTAAAATGATTGCTGCCCTAAGAAGAGTTTCAATATCTGTGTGACTTTGCTTAATTTAGTTTTTGTTCTTTTTTCACTGCAGTGCTTTGAACACGTGGTTTTGGTTAAAGATTGTTGACCTGGAAATGAAATGATATGTCTGGTGTTGGTTGACCACCTTGGCTGCTCCCTCATAAATATATTTTTACATAACCCCTCTTTCCTCGCATCTTGGGCTTCCATATCCCACCCACGAAACCCTCTGTAATTTTTTGGAGGGCAGAAATCAGGAAGGTAAAGTATGCAATACCAAACCCGTTTCTGCCCTTGTTTTATTTCTATAACTTAATACTATTGTAAGAATCCGCTGGGTATCGAACTGCCGACGTCATCCCCCACAGTCTCGTACGTTACCTCTTCGGCTACGAGGCGTGTGGTAGATTCGGATTCTGGTTCCATCACTTATGTCGATGCAATACGTAGTTTATTGGGTTCGCTGCTAGAATTCGTGGCCAAGTTCGCAGAGAGAGAGAGAGAAAAAATACATAAGTTGGTAACATTTGTTGCGTGATTTTAGTCTTTCGAGTCATGGAGGTGTGGCATGACTGGCTTAAGTTGTTTATGTGCAGCTAGTTGTATTGAGGTCAACTTTCGCTTTTGAGGATGTTTGTGTGCTAAATTTATTTTTTGTTCATAATGGCAAATATTCAGTCTCTTAAAATTCCATAATGCAAAAATCATTGCTGTAAGTTTCTATGTGAGAACAGTGATATTCGTGGGCTGTTATTAGGTTACGGAATAAGAGCCTGGAAATTATGGGGTGTTCTCGTTAGTCGGTTGAGGTTATGTGTCGATGATTCTCGAGGAATCGAATAAATGAACGCCATAAGGCGTTTACGGCATTGATAAGTGACATTTATATACTCAGAAGTGTTTATTATTTGCGGGTTTGGTGCGTTGTACAGTTACTTGAGGAATTTCAATATGTTTGCCTTGTAACGTGAAGTAATGCTAGTTTAGCAATGGTGCCTGAGTGGTGTGCCCCCAGAACAAAAGTACATGTTCAATCAACTGCGTCATCAGAATGCTGTTTGTTTATGCATTTGTGTCGGGGTGGGGGGTGAGGCACTTGGTATCGCAACAGGAATTTGGCTGTGATCATGAAGGGCCCTCCTGTCTGCTATATATTTACCTCTGTCTGAACTTGATATGCATCGTGTAAGTACACGAGCAGTATGATGTATTAGATGTGCTTGTCATGTAAAAGAGTTACGTCTGCCAAAATATGTGGCACTGTTTATCATTACAGTGCCATTTGTAACTTGGTTGTTGTATTTCCTGGTGATCAGATTTCAAATATCACCATATTTGAGGAAAGAAGAAAGGCTTTAAAGCACAGTGTGGTTACAAATATACAGGATTACAACTTAACTTGCACTAATTGCTTCTTGCGATTTCTGTATTTCCTTTTACGTTCACCATTAGTTTTTGGTATTTCTTTGGGAACCGTAGGTTCATTATTTGATAATAATTGCTTCTTTCGATTTCTACATTCCCTTATACGTTCAGCATTAGTTTTTGGTATTTATTTTGGAACCTTAGTTTCATTATTTGATAATAATTGCTTCTTGCGATTTCTATATTCCCTTTTACGTTCAGCATTAGTTTTTGGTATTTTTGGGGGAACTTTAGGTTTATTATCTAATACTTCTATTATTTTACGTTTTCTGTACTGTCCCATATATTCTGCTTTATGGAGGCTTTTAGCATCAATGTCATCCATCTTGTACATAGTATGAACCAACAAACTAACGCAACAACAGATTACTTAATAATTCTTATATAGGTTGCTGGGTTCAGTAACAAATCGGGTGACCGAGAGGCAACGTGTGCCAGAATGTAGGCGATCTAGTTTGTTTCATAGTGCTTCGTGCTAAGTTGATTGAGCTGTAGTTTACGATCCTAGGTGTTGTTCCGTGTGGTTGGTTTCATAAATTATTGGAAGGTTTTAGGTTATCGATATGTTTGGTAGTTGGTTTCTTATAGGTGAAGTTGGTAGGCGTGTTTCGCCTTCATTTGTTTGTAGTTCCTGTAATTTTTAAGAATAAGACAGGATAGCTCAGAAAAATGGCTGGATTCAAGCTCAATGACTGGGATTCAATTCACGGTGGCAATAAAAAACAGACCACACCAATCATACAACAATACTTATTTCATTTAATTCTACATTGTATATTTGGTTACAATATAAAGAGAAAAGATTTAAACCTTCAAGTAAAGTAGCAACTGCAAAATTCCCTCCCGTGTTCTCTCAACCTCACATCAACCCCTCAATATGAACACCTATACAACAGACAATATACCATATTTACCCAATTATAAGACAAAGTTTTCTTACTTTATTCTCATTAAAAATAGGGGTATATTATAACCATAAAGAAAAATGTGTAAAAGACTGATTCAGTGATATCTGGGAAAACCAGACATAACATAAGAACTCGCAAACAGAATACTTTATCAATAAGGATATTTCAGACACAGAAATCATTACATTCTTGTTACTCTTACTGCCATATAAACCATACTAATTATATATATTACACTAACAAGTCAGTAGGCCAATTCATGATGAAATCCATAGAAGATTAAATTCAGGGAATGCTTGCTATTATTCAGTCCAAAATGTTTTATCCTAATTCCTAATATAATTACAAAAGTGTAATTTTGGCATCGAGTACACTAAATTCTTGGACTGTGTCAATCGTCTGTATTTTTAAAAAGAACACTGCCATTCTGAAGCTGCATCTGCTTCCTTCCTCAGTTTATAAAGTGGAGAAGGGCACTTACTCAGTTGGGTCAGACAGAGTTCCTCTGTCATCAGATCTTTCATAATTAATTTATAATTTTGCAAGTTGTGCTATATGGGTATGGAACTTGGTCTCTCACTTTGAGGAAAATTGATTGAGGGCCTTTCAGAACAGTTCTTTGAGGAAAATATTTGGGCCTAAATGGGAGGGGAATGTATCACACAGAAAATTGCACAATGAAGAGCTTCATAGTGTATAAGATTAAGTATTAGTTGGATCTATACTACCTCTCCCCCAAGTGCCTACATGGTGTGTAGTGGGACAACTTTACTTTACTTGCCAGTCATTACAGTAGTTATTGCTTCCTGCTTAAACTATCTTCATTGCCAGAGCACAGATCCTTGTCAGGAAGTAAAACTTTTTTAAATGCGTCTGATCATGGATTGTTTGAACTTATCTCTACTTTATGTGAACCCTTTGTTTGTATTTTGTGACATTTATATAATAGTATGACTTGTATGGTCATCTGACAAACTTATAGATCCATGGAATGTAATAAACCTCACATCAACCCCTCAATATGAACACCTATACAACAGACAATATACCATATTTACCCAATTATAAGACAAAGTTTTCTTACTTTATTCTCATTAAACAATAGAGGTATATTATAACCATAAAGAAAAATGTGTAAAAGACTGATTCAGTGATATCTGGGAAAACCAGACATAACATAAGAACTCGCAAACAGAATACTTTATCAATAAGGATATTTCAGACACAGAAATCATTACATTCTTGTTACTCTTACTGCCATATAAACCATACTAATTATATATATTACACTAACAAGTCAGTAGGCCAATTCATGATGAAATCCATAGAAGATTAAATTCAGGGAATGCTTGCTATTATTCAGTCCAAAATGTTTTATCCTAATTCCTAATATAATTACAAAAGTGTAATTTTGGCATCGAGTACACTAAATTCTTGGACTGTGTCAATCGTCTGTATTTTTAAAAAGAACACTGCCATTCTGAAGCTGCATCTGCTTCCTTCCTCAGTTTATAAAGTGGAGAAGGGCACTTACTCAGTTGGGTCAGACAGAGTTCCTCTGTCATCAGATCTTTCATAATTAATTTATAATTTTGCAAGTTGTGCTATATGGGTATGGAACTTGGTCTCTCACTTTGAGGAAAATTGATTGAGGGCCTTTCAGAACAGTTCTTTGAGGAAAATATTTGGGCCTAAATGGGAGGGGAATGTATCACACAGAAAATTGCACAATGAAGAGCTTCATAGTGTATAAGATTAAGTATTAGTTGGATCTATACTACCTCTCCCCCAAGTGCCTACATGGTGTGTAGTGGGACAACTTTACTTTACTTGCCAGTCATTACAGTAGTTATTGCTTCCTGCTTAAACTATCTTCATTGCCAGAGCACAGATCCTTGTCAGGAAGTAAAACTTTTTTAAATGCGTCTGATCATGGATTGTTTGAACTTATCTCTACTTTATGTGAACCCTTTGTTTGTATTTTGTGACATTTATATAATAGTATGACTTGTATGGTCATCTGACAAACTTATAGATCCATGGAATGTAATAAAAATGTATGTATGTAGTTCCATGTTCAGGATTATGACAGCTGGGTTCCCTCTGGAAGGCTGCCATGCAAATACATCATTCATTCTACAAATAGTAACAGGTGGTATTTTAAAAGTCTGTAATCTACAAAGTTGCCTCATGCAAGATACCCTGACTACATGAAAGTGATTGAGGATACTTTATGTGAAAGTTTGTACATAAAATGGTACTGTAAAAATATATGGAGGAAAGACAAGCTCTTTTATGACACGAATTAATTGGCAAGTGCATCATTCAGCAATTATGTAATTCTTCTGAAATATAAAAATAGGATGTCTTCTAGATCAGTGCTTTGGGTAACATACGCAGATAATTAGAAATGGCCAAATAGTTGGTTCTTCTTAATTGTATGCATCAAACATAATGAATGTGTTCTATTCTTGAATTCAACCCAGAAAATTATTATAAACATAGGGTTGCAACCACTTGATTAGTGAGTATTGGAAGCATCAGTAAATCAAATGAGACGTACTTAAACATAGTTTAAGAGCATCTTAATTTTCAAAAAGCCCCCCCCCCAAAAAAA